ATGTATGTATGTATGTATGTATGTATGTATGTATGTATGTATGTATGTATGTATGTATGTATGTATGCGCGTGTGTAAGTGTGGAATCGAGATCGTATGTAGGAGCTTATCTGGATCGGATATCACCCGACCTGGTCCTGATGGCCTCGCACTTTCTTTGCCCCCTCGACGGTCTAGCGGGTTCGCCTACGTTCCTCCCACAGCACAGGGTTCAATGGGCATTGATCGGGTGCATTCGGGGCTATATATAGCTGTGCACATATGCATGCCTGGCTTCGTGAAAGCGGCAACATGAATGCGCGCAGACCTGCGAGATCATTTATTTATTTATATATTCAGGCCCATGGGCAAAAGGGTGTGTAATTAAGAGGTTTCTGGCGAAGAGGTGCACAAAAAGAGCAAAAAGTTTTTCTATTTATAAAAAAGAACACAAATTTGCCAAATAGAGTTTAGCCTCATCAAAGAGAGCTCTTCTTACGCATTGTGTGTGTGTGTGTGTGTGTGTACGTGCGTGCGTGCGTGCGGGTGTGCATTTATGTGTTTGGTCGTGTGGTCGTCGAACACGCACGCACGCATGCATGCGTGCGTGCGCATCCGCAGGCAAAAGTCCCTGGTGCAGAGCCCAAACTGGAAGAGGATGAGGGTGCAGGAACGAGTTGTACCAGCCTTTGAATGAATCAATTTCCCACATAAACATGGCAGCAGTAGCTGGGCAAATCAACATGGTTCCGTGGCAAAAAATGCCCTGTTTCGGTCGTCCTGCCGACAGCCAGAAGCACAAGTCCCGCCACTGGGCCTCCGGTTCGCGGCTCTTGCGGCGCCAAGAGGCTGGTCGCGAAGTTCGGGTTCGAAAGCCGTCCTCGCCCGCTCGGCGCGCCTGGACAACGTGTCTACCTTAAAAGTGCCACGGACGCCGACTTCCGGAGCAGGAAAAGAGCTGTACATCTCCAACCGGAGGTTCCACTTGTCTTGCAGAATTCGAATTGCTGGTGCACTACTTTAATTCCGATGAGAGTAGTTTGGGAGACTATTAACGCTTCCGGAATACAAACCCAAATCGCTCGAGATGGCTTAAGGCGAAATAGGGATTAGAAGTTCAATATTCCGAAAAATGAACTGAGTTGTTTAAAACGATGTCGTTGAAGTGGACAACCGGTACCATGTTTTCAGTCTTGTTTGGCGCGCCATTCAAAAGCGAGCTGTGTCCGTTAAGTGGTAACACGTTAGCACTCAAAGAAATATTGCGACACGACATTCCAGCTCGAGGGAAAAGTCAGATAGAAGGAATTCGTAAAATATTTTTCGTATATAAGTAGAGTTTCGAGACTACCAGTAAATCAGTAGTATGCGATTTATTCATCTTGTTTCTTGTAAGGTGATGAAGGATTGGTAGTAGAAATTTCCCACAATGATATGAGTTGAGTTGACCTTTCATTCAAGTTCACATAGCATAGCTTTCCCAAAATGTGTTCTTATCCACACCCCCAGTGGGAGTCGAACCGTAACAGTGCAGAATGTGAGCTCGACACGTTAACCACTCGGCCATGTTGCCACGAGTGCCCTTGGATCACAATGCAGGTGTGAATTTCGAGGAAGGCCAGGCCTTTTGCCATATCACATTCTTCGGTGGGATTGTCGAAGAAGCAAACGTATTTTTGCTATAACAATCGACTACATCACCCATTTCTCGTATCCACGCCTTATGTCACCGAGGTTGGGCAAATA